AGCACTTTCGAGTACTGACGCTACAGTGGAACTGACACGGTAGCTGTCACAGCTTCGTGCGTTCGGTTGTGCTTGATTAACCCCTTGAGGGGTTATTATAATTCTGTTTATTGTGTGTTTTGTACTGTATATCGTGTATTGTATATTGTATATTGCACATATTGTATACAGTACATTGAGTTATACTATGAAGATATGAATTTTTCAAAAATATTCAACAATAATGTTTTAACTATTTTAAATTTCTTCAATTAATTGTAATTGCACGAGTAGATTAATAAATATTGATTAATCCTTTGCCCTACGATTTATTGCTCAATTATGATCGATACAATTTTGTCATTAATAATTTATTAAAGAAAAGAAAACGATTATAGGTATATTCAGTATCAATCTCTGCTGCAAAGTATAATAATTGATGAGAGAAGAATAATATTTAATTTGAATTTAAAAAAAACCAAGTAGCATTCCTGCTTGTTAAATTCTGTTTAATATCTTTACCACGAGTCTGACACGTTACTGTAAGACAAAGGGTTAACATAAATATTTATATAAAACTATCCCTTCTCTAGATATATCACTTGTTATAGTATTTTTGTTGTCCCTTCTCCAGATATATCACTTGTTATAGTATTTTTGTTTTTATTTCACATAAGTTAATGTAAATGCATACGTTTGCATTCTATCTGATAAAAATTGAAACACTTATATTTGCACAACCTTATATTTGCACAATCTGTGCAAAGTATTGAATTATGTACTCATACGGATGCTAAGTAATACAGCTATTTGAATGATAGGGTCCAAATGAGAAAATATTAATTATCAGCTCCGCTAATTGCAACGAAAGATTTAACACTGATTTTCAAACATGTTCCTCGACAATTAATTAACTTATTTCGGTTACCGCGATAATCGTTATTGCTCCTTCGCATAAAGTTTATTCTCGCCATAATGATGTCTACTCCTGAGATGAGGGTCCGACAATTATGGCGGGCAGCGTGAAACTTAATAAGCTTGTATCTTTTGCAAAATCATATAGAATATCAATATTTTTTCAAAATACAAAAGGCAAAAAATGTATCGGCCGACTCAGCGGTGAATAAGGGGGATGTAGATTACGGCCCCGGGGTTACGCCCCTTTAATAAATCGTAAAGTGATTGGAAGTCGCCGTACACTTGCAAAAATTACAATATAACCCACTGCAAATCGCGTTATGATTACTCACGAAACGCGTATTAATGAACCACGGTGACAGGTGGTACTTATAAAAATAAGGAAAAGATCGCAATGAACATGGATCCATCAATCATTTCTTTATGAGATATAATTCGTTTTTAATTCGAACAAAAACGTCGCCTTCGTTAACAACTCCCCGTCCCGCGAGTCCTTTTTTCCTCTTGTCCATCGCGGACGAACTTCAAACACAAAATTATGAAGATGTGTCTCCTTTAAAGGCTCTCACCGGCAACGAAGAAAGTTAATAAATCACTTGGATACCCAGGACCACGGATACACGTGAAAATGAAGCGTATTCGGAGAGGTAATTACTTCGGCGATCAACGTAATCCTACCAAGCATCCGAATATTTGATGAATAGTAAACACCGTGATCTAACATCCCCATTTTTTTGTAACTCTACTTCCTTTTCCAGGTACGGGATATATACTATTAAGGCTGCAGTTGCTTATTGTATTTTAATATTCAAAGTTTTTGTGACTTCTAGAAGATTAAAGGTTGACGTAACTGCCGTTTATAATTTTCATTTGATTTCGACACGATTTCCTATATTTCATCGTGAAATAATGATTTTTTAATAAAACCATTAGGTACAAATACTTGCACAGAATGTAAACTGATTTAGGTAATGTCTCGAGTGTATTGCTTTCTTCGAAATTTTTATCTTAGAATGAAATTCCTGTCGTACATTTAATTTCATCGAAATATCTACACTTTATAACTGGATTTAATGTTAAAAACAATTCGCAATTGAATTGTTGTAAAAATGAAAATATCTTGAAAACATCTATAACGAATGATTTTATAAACGAAGATAGAAACTTATATGTATCATGATATTCTCTTCTTACAGGAACATCCTGCGAGGGGACAAGAGGAGGGACGCCTAGAAAAGGATAAACTGAAGCATCGATCATCACCCACCTAACACAGTCATTAATTACTGTAGACTGAAAAAGACTAGACCCTCCTACCATTTTTAACACGACGACTGTTAAACGGATATCAGGCGAGAACGACGAAAAGCTGACTGGTAATACGATATTTCGCTAAAGCTGGTCATCTAAATACTTTCAACAGCTGTTCTAAATATATAGACTGATTTACGTTCTCATTTAGTGTACTACCATGTCGTCTTGTAAAACATATAGGTGAAATGGAAGAAATACCACATTTTAAAAGATTATAAAAATCAAATCTCATTACAATAATAATAAAAGGTCGAACTCTACCGTTGTACATTACTTTAATTCATTTTCTTAAAAATAAACGGTTTATACCTTACAACATTGAAAATGAATCGAGTGCAAAGGGTTAGATACAACACAAACTTCTAGAAACGAAAATGTCCAAAACATTTTCTGAAACAGGCATGGTCGGTATGGCGACAGTTTCTAGTTTAGGGGTTGAAAAGTCTTTCCCTTCATGGTAGCACAAGTGTCTAGCCGATAGTATATTTGTCTAGGGTAAGGAGAAAGGACTGAAGGAAGGGAACGAGGCAGTTTCAACTTTCGACCACGTGTGTCTCGCATTACGGACGTCCAGCAGTTTTTTCTGCCCCCCCCTTTGCCCCCTCGAAATTTTGCGCACATGCCTGAACAGCGTGGCCGAGAGTACGCCTGCCCTCCGCAGTCAATTATTATTGGTCTCGAGTGACCACTTCCGGTCTTCTTTCACCAGTAACATCTCTCGCCTAACCGTGCAACTACGCCCGATCGAAATTCGATCACCTGACTCTCTTTCTTCGCGACGGTGATTTCGTGCTTTCTGTTTCCTGTTCACGTCGACGCTGGCCATTCACTCTGACCGGCATCAATTTATATTCGACCGAACGATCCTCGGGTCGATTATACCGCTCCTTTTATTGCTCTTTTTCATACGGACACAGATATTCTTTCGTTTAAATTTTCATAAGTGTTCCTTTATTCAAAATTTGATGACACTGTTAATGCGTTTATGTATAGCAGGTAATTAAGCCCGTGTGACTTTGAAATCGCAGACCAATGTATTCGGTTAAATTGATTTATTCAATTTTTTATCGCAAAATTATGAAAGAAATTAAATAATTTAAGCTTTTATACATACAGGTGTAAACGTTCGACGTCATTGCAACTTTAAAGTTACAATATATATTCGTTTTAGTACAATTATTAGAACTATTGAATACATTGCTAATTCGTTGATATGTTGGTATTTATTAATTTTATACTGAAGACATATTGTTATAGTCACGAAATAAAATTCGACCTATAGAGGATTAATAATGTTATTAATAAATAAACGATTGAGAATAATAGTGGTCTAATAATTCCATAAAATTCAAAATAAATTCTATGGAATAATGATACCAAAAATTTACACGAATCATAAAATCCAATAATAGGTAAAGAAAATAAAAGATTACTGGAAACCACTAACCAGACAAGATGGAGGACCGAAGTCAATTTCCAGCCACCGGCTGGTATTATGATTCCGATATGGTTTCGGTGTAACGGTGTCCTAAATCCACGGAAAAAACCGTACGCGACGAGAACAGAGCACGCTCTCGTCTATTAATAGATAATCTCTTCCAGATACAACCGCGATGAAAAAAGTTTTCGGAAGAGGCCGCGAGGATCAGGAAAAAAAAGCGACTGACCACGTGCAGTCGTACACGTGACGTCGTGGGAAAAGCGAAGATACGACGGGAGAAAAAAAAGAGAGTACAGAAGGGGGAAAAAATCGAGAAAAAAGTGGCCTGGAAGAGAGGCCGAGAGTGACGGCAGCGCCGTAACCGTTCGCAGCGACCCAAATCTCCAGATTAAATCTGATCATCCCTTCTTCCTTTCTTTCTGGCCAGCGTCAACCGCTTTTCAGCGGATACAGAATTCTACAACAGGTGTAATTATTTCCTCCGTCGTAACGATAATATATGGTAGGCTCTGAGGAGCTATTCAATTAATTAACGCTCTTGATCGCCGGGCTAGTTTTGACTGAAAGCGCCCCGAGGCCTCGGGAATAATAAAAAAAAATACGAGTTACCGGTGAAATTAATTGTAAGAGCGCCGGCTATATATGTCCGACGCGGCACCTGAAGAATTTGGCTGTGTCAGCGATATACGACTGACGCGCCGGTCAGTGTTAATAAAATTTAATTTTATTCTTCGGTTGATTGCCTCTACAAGCCTGTGGCTTATCCCTCTTTAATTTGCTTGAATTTTTTCTTATCCCTTCGTTTATATACTGCTTTAAAGGCGAAAAGATAATGATGTATGGTTGTATAATAATGATTAGACCGTGGATCTTTATATAAATTCAAGTGTTTAATAATTGGTGAAATAGAATTAGGATGGAAAATAGATTTTCATAGGAAATATTGCAAAAAGCACTTGCTTCCGATATTTTGTATACATTTCTTTCTAATGATCATTTTGTTAAATGTGACGGAACTTTTGAACTCTAAAAGTCAGAATTCTATGCACGTGTAAAGGTAAATAGTAAACGTTAATATGTAGATATAATTAAATAAAAAAACTTCTGTTTAATTTGAATTCAACAAGGATTATAATAGAAGATATATATTTTTGTTTAAAAATTTATATCTCTATAAAAGAATTTGGAGAGATGAACATCAAAATTGTATTTTCTTTATTTACTGCATGAGCCTATACGAAGTTTTGTTAAACTTTGTAGGTTATAATCATTTCGAGACTTCTAAACGCTACAAATATATAATACACAGCTTAATGGTTAATTATTATTTCTTACTGAATCGACTTACCAATCATACGTGAAGGAAAACCACAGGAAATAGGACTCTGATATTGGTTGTCCCTTGCTGAACCTAAAACAAAAAGCAAAAAGCTTCACATATGAATATTAATCAAAATTGATGGTTTAACATCACGTTTAAAGTATTTACTGTCTAAATTATTTCAGCTGCTTATAAAGAACCTGTATTTTTTACATTTGAGTTCAACTTATAAATTTTTTTAAATTAGATTTGTAAAATGCATCACTAAATAGGAAACTCTCCTACAAAAAGAAGGGAATTATGCTTTACACTAATATTTAAAAATGTATTTATGGTTTATTTATTGACTGTACTTGATAAAACAACTTTACCATTAATAATTTAGTAGAAAAAGAAAAGAATTTTATACTTATTCTGTGCTTACGTTTGCTACAAATGTTAAAGATTGATAACAGTCAAGTAATATTAATTTATGTTCAAAATAAATAAATGACAGTTAGATTTGTCGAATTTAAAATTTTCTTCACGGGTCTGAGACGTTATTACAAAGCAAGGGGTTTAGCAGAAGGGGTGAAGAAGGGTGAGTCTGTGATTACGTTTGAATCGCTTAAAGTGGGTAATTTTAAATCGTCATTTTTTTTTCTAGCAGAGGATTCCCGTGTAAATCGGCCTTAGCCGTCCATAGAATTGCGCCGCGTGCAACACGGTTTGAAATTCGAACGCAATTGTCCCGCCTGTAAATTCATCTGGAATATCCAGTTTCATCGTTAAAAACTTAAATTGGGAGAAACCTTTCCGTTCTCAAATTGCGATAGGCAGGTAAATATCACGTTTCAAGGGTTATTAATCAGACGAAACCTCACATCGTAACCCTGTGAAACTTTACTCGCGATTTATTACGTCGAATCCTTGCTTCTGCGGCTCCGTGATTCATTGATTGCAAAGATTCCCTTTCGATATCGTGTTTAATATTACGGACAAGCAGGTAATTGCATTTCTTCATTTCCGTACACAAAAATCCAAAATGTGAATTTTGATATTGACCGTAGTAATTCCAATTGTACGGCCATTTGTCTTACGGTATCGAGTTTGAAACGTGGCGGAGAATTTAAATTGAATTCGATGCACGAAAATATTCCTCAGTTTACATCAACCGAGGAGAAACGATATTTCTCCGGTTGTGAATATTGACTTCATTCGCTAAACGTGTTGTTAGACGAATTATAAAGCAACATTAAAATTCGAAAACAAAGGGTTAATATTGACTGGTAGAAAACAGGTAAGACCAGACTGTTCGAAAATTTGTCCATTTCCTTCGAAAATTTTCAGACAAGGAAAAAACGAAATCAGAAATTAATTAGCTAGTTTTCTAACAAATAAAAACGTTTATTGTTTGTAAAATAATGCGATATAATTTTACATGAATATATTACATTTACGGGAATTTCATGTGGTTTATTAAACAATTATATTAACAAAAATTAAAATATTTATTGTAGCTATTTATTGTAGCCTAAACTGTATGAAACTACTGTTCGCTTTTTAAAACCTGTTTGACACGCCTTCATGATGTCAGAATTAAAAAAACGTCAGTAATCTTCAAAGTAACAGAAAGCATTAACCTAAAATGTAAATGAAATAAAAAAGCAAATCAACATTCAGTAACAGTTGTATTAACCAAAAATGCAATAAAATCATATATTCATTCAAGCTTCTATTTACAACGTATCATTCATTTCTATACACATCCCAGGACAATGTTACTATCCAAGTCCAAATTTAAAAAAACCTCAACATTTCCAAACTAGTAACTCCACAAACCAAACAACTATGCTCCACATAAGTTTCATTCAAATCGGCGTGTACTGGTCGGAATGATTCCCTCGTTAGCACCGCAACTCTGTCGGACTACTCAGCAAGCTTCGTTACTACGTCTTCCTCGTTAATACTAACATATTGTTACCCGCGTGACTTCTGCATCGAAATACCCGTACATTTATATGTTAATACCGGCTTGCCGATATTTTCACCCGGTATACAATATAGAGATCTATAAGACCGCGCGTCCATACATAAAGGTTAACAGTATCGACGCAGAAGCAACGCAGGTCCGCGATAACCACAATAATCCGAGGAGAGGCTTAAAAAGTAATCGCTGCAGGAAATCAAAAGTCCCGCGTATACGGGCGTATACGGGCGTACACGCCTTTCCGTTCTTGTACGTCTTGATTCCTGAGCAAATCCATTACAGCCACGAGGGGCTTTAAAATCTCTCGAGAAAAAACGAATGAGGACTACCCACGGACAGCGGAGGGAACGGTCCACCTGTTGCGCCGACCCTGATCCCGCTTCTTTCTAATCTGCCCTAAAAACATCGTAGATTCACGCATTAGCCCTGCTACCGCTGTTACACCTACCCGAGGACCCAGCCCTCCTCTCTCTCCCTCCCTCCTGTTTCTTTTTTTTCTCTTTCATTTTCTCATTCTGGTAACATTATACGCGGTCGCACCTGCGATTGCCTCGTCGTTGTCGCACGGAATGGAAGAGGTTTGCCCGGGGAGAAAAGAAAAAAGGTAGATAGCCAAGCGGACACAAGCAACCATTCCAACCCACTACTCGAATTACTATAATTTCTTCCTCTCTTCGATAGCTAAGACCATTCCGGCGACGCCGGCCAGGAAACGTTACACAATACAAACGCGATTCCCTTCTTTCTTCTCCTTTTCCCCTCCTCTTTTTCTGTCCCTCGCGGTGTCTTCGTTCGAGATCTCGCAAAGATCTGTAATCCCAACATCCGGTTTCACGTTTCTCGACGGCCGGCCGAGTCCGCTCGCATTGTCCGCGGCGACTCCTCGCTACCGGCGAACGACTCACGCCGATCACCCGCGGAGACAGTGTTGGGCAAATAGACGACGGCGAGATCGAAACTGCGCGGACGGTCTGCACGCACGGTCCGGAAGTAGTTTATGTCGCGTGAGCCGTTCGTTTTTTCGAGCGTTTAGGTTGGAATCGAAGTAGAGGGGATTGATGGAATTATATTGCTGGAGCAATTATTGGTACGTTGAGGTTTGGAATTGTTGAAAAATATTTTTCTTTCGTTGTTCGTTTCAGAAAGCACAGAAATAGGAATGTTAGGTTTAGAGACTACATTTGAGTTTTTGTTAGTAACAATTGTGCATGTCTGCACTGAGTTGTGAGTAATTTTTTGGGATGGAATTTGTTTATGTTTGTAATTAAACTTGGAAATGCATTAGTGAAAAATAATGGGGGTAATAAAGTAACTTAAAATTAAAATAATTTTATTTATTATATATGCTAGTTGTAAATTCCATGCATCAAAATCATTTTTAACGTGCTTATCATTTCTATCATTCCTAAAAGTGAAGGATTAATTATTAATGCAATCCTTGATCTAATCGTTAATCAACTTGACGATTAAACACCTACTTCAATCGCAAAATACAATGATCCATCAGTTCAACGAAAGTTTCATTGAAATATTTCCATCGTAATTGTTAATCATTAAATACATTAACTCTTTGCTCTTGGCAGATTTTCTCTAGTATCATTGAGATATCATTAACACTTTCCAAGGCTAACGTAAAGAAAAATCATACACAAATTCAGAAACAAAGTCACTCTATTCCAACGTTTCATGTATTGAAGTATTACACAAAATTGAATATCGACTACCTAATTTCATAATTTTGTCACATCAAATTAAATGAAAATTGAAACTCGCTTATAAAGTGCAAAGTATTAACGCGTACCGGCACTCTAGCTACCAGTTACATTTCTATGAAAAGAATGCAAGTGATCGTTCATTTAATACGTCAGTAATGCAAAAAATAACTTTTGGACAATAAACAGATTATACATTTACATTTCTGTTTAACCAGATAAGAAAACTATACATGCACTTCTTAATTCGGAAGCATCGGTCATTCGACCGAGCACGGTACGTTCAGTGTTAAATACAAAGGGTAACAATAAGGCTGAAGTATCGGCCAACACTGTCTCCAAACACCGTAAAACCAAACTCAACCGAACGCGTTCCGGGCGCCATGCAGCGAGTAATCTCGTCCTTCATACAATAGGTCACGATTTCCTCGATTAAATCATCCCTCGCCCCCAGGAAAGTGGCAGGGCGGTAAGAAAGAGCGCGTTTAACCCGCCATTTGTCCCATGTCTCTTAATCCATCATCGGCTAAATGGATTTCCAGTTGTACACATGTTCGCGAGTGAAATAGTTGTCAGTGGTTCCCATAGGTGGGCACAATGAGTGACTCCTCGAACGAGAATGGCGGCGGGGTAAGAAAAGGTGGGGTAAGAAGGAGGAGGGTAGGAAGGCTGGCACCAGCGAGACTTCGCAAAAGGGAAGAAACCGGGAACGGGACGCCCCTATGTTTGCTTGTGTTTGCTCGACCTCGCGGAAAATCCATTCAGCCTATGGGCCAACAGTGCAGCGTGCTCCCCTATTGTGGCAGGCCACGGCGGTTGTTATGGTTACCCGTAGGATCCTACTCCCGTCTTGTCTCCTGTTTGCCTTCGCTGCGTGGGTGTAAACGGGGCACGAGGAGGGCGCAGTCAAATCCTCCCCGACCCTCGACCCGTCTCTGACGTCCCTTTGTCGTACCCTGGAATTTATGTTCTAGCTGGATTTCTCTTGAAATCAGGTATTCGACCGTTCGCTGCGTTTAAGATCGATTAGGATAAGGAATATCCTTGTGCCGAGGGAATGTTCAATATTACTCGATATTATGAGGATCTATTGGATCATCCCCTGAGGTGACTACTTTAACCCTTTGCGATTGGCGACGCCGCTATGGTGGTATATTCTTTCTTTTTTAGTGTTGTTTTATGATGTATAGCAGTATTCAATAAAATATTAACTTCTAAAAATGGTCTGTAATTTTTAATATACATATGTTCATTATTAGTCAGCTACAGAAAAATAACTTTAAAAATATAAATTTGCTTCTAGTTGACACTGCCACCAGCTTAATATAATTTTCATCAGAATATACCCCCTAGAAGATTGAACTTCGAGCAATTCGCTGTAAGCACTTTTTAACTAATTATGCTGGAAA